TAAATAACTTGTCCAGACCATAGAGATAGTAAGTAGAACCTGGGTTTATGCCAGGGTGTTCTGGCTCTAGCTCAAGACCTTAATATTATTGAGTGGAATTTTTCCTCTACCGCTCTGCTTCCATTCCCCAGAGACTACCACTTTTTTATAGCTTGGTGTTTGTTTTCCTGGGCAGTCTTTGCTTACACACACAGGTGAATTAATTCAAGATTTTTTTTTTAATTTTTATTTTATGTATATGAGTGTTATACCTGCACATATGTAAGTGCATCAGTGTCATGGCAGTGCCCTCAGAGGTCAGAAGAGTGTGTCAGATCCCCTAGAACTGGAGTTACAAATGGTTTTTAACCGCCATGTGGAGACTGGGTTTAGAACGTGGGTCCTCTACAAGAGCTTTTAACTGTTGAGCCATCTCTCCAGCCCCAAGATGTTATTTTAAAAAATATTTTATTATTTTTATTTTATGTGTATTAATGTATTGCCTGCACATTTATGTGTATTAATGTGTACCTGTGTTGTGCAATGCCTACGGAGGTCAGAAGAGGGTGTTGGATTCCCCTGGAACTGGAGTTGTAGACGATTTCTAGCCATCATGTGGGTGCTTGAAATTTAACCTGGGTCCTCTGTAAGAGAAGTCAATGTTCTTAACCACTGAGCCATCCCTCAGCCCCCAAGACATTATTTTTTAAAGATTTATTATTTTTATTTATGTGTATGTGTGTATGCCTCTGTGAGTTTATGTGCACCACATGTCTGCTATAACAAGTGCCTGCAGAGGCCAAAGGCCATTATATCCTCTGGAACCAGAGTCACAGGTAGTTGTGAGCCATCTGATGCGGGTGCTGGGAATTGAATCCAGATCTTCTGAGAGAGCAGCAAATGCTCTTAACCACTGAGCCATCTCTCCAGCCCCTAGATGTTATTTCTTGTATTTATTCATGTATTGTATGCATCTGAGACATCTTCCATACCAATCAATTTAGTTTTATTTTATTCTTTTTTATTGTTGCTTTGGTTTTGTTTGTTTGCTTGTTTGTTTAGAGACAAGGTCTTCCTATATCCCCGGCTGATCTGGAATTCTCTATGTAGACCAGGCTGGCCTTGATCTCACAGAGATCCGCTTACCCCTTCACTCCTTATAGTATCTACATAGTATGATATGGATATAGCATAATTTATTTTTACTTTTTAAAATGAATTTATTCTTTACAATTTCATACATATGTGGTGTACTTTGATCATATCCCCCATTTATCCTCTTTGTCCTCTTTCCCCTCCCACCAAACTTCTTCTTCTACCCACAAGTCCTCCTCCTCTTCTGTGCGTGTCTTTTTATAGCATAATGTATTTCATCAGCCTCTTATTAATGAGTATCAAGCAAGTTTCTAGTTGACTCTTGCAAACTGTGATAAATATGTTTTGCTTTCCCTTACATTATAATATTTGGTGAAAACATAATGCCAACATTATTTACACAGGATGTTTATCAGTATCTCTCAAGACTTAACCGTTCAGTGGTTCATTGGAAGTCAATGTGAACACTTTGATAGATGTAGTAAGATTACTCAGCTTAGCTTCTGACCCATGCTTTTTGTGGCCCAAGGCCACTGTCCCATAGCCTGCCTCACCTATCGTCCATTTCACCACAATCTCAAATACCTCAACCCTGTGATGATTAGTCTTGACAACTTGATGGTATTTAAGATCACCATGGAAACAGCTCTCTGGGCATGTCTATGAGGGGGTGTCTGGATTGAGTGAACTGAGGCAGGAAGACCCACCCTGAGTGTGGGCAACACTGCCCCATGGACTGGGGTCCCAGACTGAATAAAAAGGAGGAAGCAAGCTGAACACCGGTGTTCATGGCTCTCTGCTTCCCAGATACCATGATGGACTCTGCTCTTCAACCGTGAGTCAGAATAAACTCTTCCTTCCTTAACTTGCCTTTGCCAGGTATTTTATCAAAGAAACAGGAAAAGTAACTAATACGGTCCCTAAAAAAGAACGCTGCAATACCACAGATGGCGAGGTCTGAAGGAGCCACATTGAGACTTCCAGAGGCCCAGCTTTTGTTATCTAAGTCTTTGACTGAGGGACCTTTCTTCTTCACTGATGTCACCAAGGACCTAAGTGGGTTGGCAAAAGGGCTCGAGAGCCTGAAAAAATTGACTCAGGGGCTGAATTAAGATCACTTAGAGTTAAGAGCACTGCCTGATCTTGCAGAGGACCTGGGTTCGACTCCCAGCACCCACATAATGGCTAACAACCATTTTTCATTCCAATTCCAGGAGATCCGATGCCCTCTTCTGGCCTCCGTGGGCACTGCACACATAGGTGCACTTACATACATGCAGGCAAGACTATTACATACATAAAATAAAAATAGATAAAATGTTTAAAATATTTAAAAACTGGATCAGGGAGAGAGAGATTAGATTAGGAGATGGAAGAGGGCAGCTGCCAAGAGTTTGTTAGCAAGATGAATATGGATTTGAAAAATGTGTCCTTGGGTGTGTCTTAGAAAAACATAGAAACGTTTTGTGTTATTTCAATGACTCTGTGTGTGTGTGTGTGTGTGTGTGTGTGCTCCCACCTGCCAAAGAGCACATGTAGAAGTCAGAGGACAACTTTTAGAAGCCAGTTCTATCCTTCCACCATGGGTTCTAGGAATTGGCCTCCAGTCATTAGGCTTGCATGGCAAACACCTTTGCCAGAGTAGGCAGCTGCTCTCTGGAATGAAGCTACATAAACAACAGGACCACCTGATGTCCTACCGCCAAAGGTGCGCACATATGAAGAAGAGGATCATTTTGAGAATCCCAGCAAGGTTCTGTTATGGTTCCAACCTGAAATGTCCCCCATGGGCTCAGGATGTGGATCCTGTTCCCTGGTTGATGACACTGTTTTGTGAATCTGTGGAACTTTTAGGAGATGAGGCCTGGCTGGCAAAGTCAGTCATTAGGGGTGGGCTCTTGAAGGTTAGAGCCCAGATCTGGCTCTCTTTGCTTCCTGGTCCATTGTGCTGGGAGGAACCTCCTCTGCCACATGCTCCTCCCACCGTGCGATCTGCCGTAACTTCCCCACCCTGCTGGACTGAAATCCTCCGAAACTGTGGGCCAAAATAAACCGTTCCTCCTTTGAGCTGTTCTGTCAGTTATTGTGGTCACAGTGTACAAGACCTTGGATTGGATGAGAGAGAGAGAGAGAGAGAGAGAGAGAGAGAGAGAGAGAGACAGAGAGACAGAGAGACAGAGAGACAGAGAGAGACAGAGAGACAGAGAGAAAGAGACAGAGAGAGAGACACAGAGAGAGAGGAGAAAAAATGTGATAGAGTGTATCTCTCTCTACTGATCTATAGAATGTGTATATACATATGTTGTGGTCCTGAGGACTGAACCCAGCACTATAAACTGACAGTCAAGTACTCTACCACTGGGTCACATCCCCAATCCTATATTTGAAGCCCCCAGCCACCCTTCTAGATATCAATGTATCAGGCTGAGATTTTAGTTTTTCAGCTTACTAGTGAAGTTAATATTATGGGTGCTCCTCTGTTTTTTATTTATTTCCTTATTTATTTATTTAGCTTACATATTTTCCAGTTGAAAATGGTTTGTCCTTTAGAAATTGTTTTTATTATATTATTTTATGTATGGGAAGGCACAGAGTACATGTCGGAGAACAGCTTGTAAGAGTCAGCTCTCTCCTTTTGCCAGGTGGGTTTCAGGGATTGAACGCCAGGTCATCAGGCTTCGGAGGCAGGTGTCTTTACCCACTGAGCTATCTCACTGCCTCAAATTATTAGCATGTGTCGGGGGATACATGTGTCATAGCATGTGTGTGGCAGTCAGAGCACAACTCTGTCGAGTAGGTCCTCTCCATCCACTTTTCTGTGGGCTCCAGGGATGGTACACTGGTGGTCAGGCTTGTGTGGTACCATCTCATCAGCTGTTCATTTTATTAATTTGAAAGCCATGTCTATAAATTTGGGCTACTAACCCCTTATCAGCTATGTACACTGGGAATACCTGCTGCTTTTCTGTAGCTCATCCCTCTACTTTGCTTCTAGTATTTTCCTCGGTACCAAAGTTCTCAGTTTTAATAAGATCACATGACCTTTTTAAAGCCACTGATGGTTGTGCATTTGATGTCTTGCTTAAGAAATCTTTCTCTATCCTGAAGTCATATAAACTTATATTTTTGCCTAGACATTGTATTGTTTGGCTATTCACATTGAGGCTTATAGTCCATCTGGATTGTATTTTTGTGTAAGACATAAGGTAGGAATGTAATTTCATTTTTCCCCATATGGATAGATGGCTGTATTAGCACTGGCAAGTATCATAACTAACTCAGAATGTCTGCTCCATCAAATGCCACAGCTCCCTAAGTAATGGGGATGCTTCTCACCTCTGGATTCTGTTGCCTCAGCCTGTTTCCATCCTGGTATTGAAGCAGTGTATATTAACAGCTTTATACTGAGTTTTGGTTTCTGGCAAGGTAAGGGCATCCACTTTTCCTGTGGTCTTGCTCGCTAGAGCATCTCAGGCCATTTCGATAACCTAAGAGCAAGACTCAGTAGATAGTAATCACCCAGCCTCTCGAGGTCAGATCTGGATTGCAGGAGGAAGTCTTGGACAGTGTCTTAGTTTGTTCTTCATTGCTGTGACAAAACACTATGACCAGTACCAACTTGGGGAGGAAATGGTTTATTTGGCTTACATCTCCCAGGTTGCAGTTCATCAGGGAGCCCAAGGTAGGAACTCAGGGCAGGAACCTGGAGGCAGGAGCTGGAGCACAGGCCATGGAGGAACGCTGCTTACAGGCATGCTCCCTCGGCTCCTGTTCAGCCTGCTTTCTTATGCAACACAGGCCTACCTGCCCAGGGGTGGCACCACCCACAGTGAGCTGGGCCCTCCCACATCACTCATCAAGAAGATGCCCTTCAGACATGGTCACAGGCCAGTCCAATAGAGGCAATTCCCCGATTGAGGCTCCCTCAACCCAGGTGTGTCAAGTTGACACTAAAGCTATCCAGCACAGACAGGCAGCGTGAGTCAGAGTCCTCAGGAGCAGACAACACTCACAGTATCCTGCTTCCTCTGGTACCCTGCCTCCTTCAGCCCAAGTGCCTGCCCTGTATAGGTACACAGTCTGAATCCCCATGGAGCCACATTTTCAATACTGGGATTCCGGGTGGATGGTGACACAGTTAGACTCAGTTCTGGCAAATAGAGGATGGTTCCTATAGAAGGCAAGGAGCCCAGATGAGTTCTGACAGTGATGTATGGTTGGCCATGGGGAGGAAGCTCCCTGGACCTGACCTGGCTGGCAATGGCTCAGAAGACAGGTCAATGATGGGCACTGCCCATATCCCAATATTCTTTCTGGCAGGGTCTTCAGAATCCCCCAAGCAAGATGATTTTATAATCAGGAGCCTGGTCAGTGAGGAGCTGGGGGTTAGGCAGAACTGCCCAGTTGACTTAGAGGTCTTGAGGAACTTACACAATCTGCCTGGGTTTCCATAGTCAGGAAGGAAGCAATGGTCCCAGAGGGAAGTGAGGCACTGGTCCTGGTCCCCATCTATGTAGACTGGTAGCTGTGTTAGTCCTAGACCCCTGGGAGTGGAGAGAGCAGGCGTCCAGAATCCTCTCCATTATGGTTTAGCTCCTCCTTCCTCTTCTCCCCTGTAGGAAAGCATGACCCAAAATAGCTTAAGACCAAGTTATCTAGGTCAAGTCACTCTATTGTGTACAGTAACAGTAACAGTACTGCCCTGTGAACTCTGCCCTTAATTCCCAGGCTTGTCCTCCAGGACAGATGGCTTGGGGGGCTGGAGTCTGTTTCCAGCTATGCTGGTGTATTCCACAGACAGAAAGGGGTCAGGTGCAGGCTCCAGATAGGGCTGTATGTTGCTGTAGACAGAGTCCTGGGGGCTCACGTGGTTTAAGTGGATGAGGGAGGCATAGCAGATGCCCCCAGTGTCTTCATCAGAGAGGATCTGCTCATCGAAGCCCTGAAGGTCAAAGAAAGAAAATGTGTTCACTGAAGGAACCACAGCTGGAGTGGTCAGCGGCCTGTGAGCACCCAGACCTGGGTAGAGGGACAGGGACAGAGTTGAGATGTGAGACACGATACTGGGTCTGCAGAGCCTCTGGGAAGGGGTGGCTAGGAACTTGCTTTTCCTGTCACGGACTCCAGCAGTTCTGGCTTCTTCAGGGAGTCTGCTCAAAACATAGAATCAGGCTCTGCCCCAGACTCATCAAAGCAAAGATTCTGGGAGTGAAGCCCAAGAAACCAGTTTTGTGGGGTTTTTTTGAAGTGCTAGGATGGAACCCAAGGCCTTTCACATGCTACGCAAACTCTACCACTGACCGGCATACCACAACCCTTGGTTTTGTTTTGTTTTGAGACAGGATCTCATTATATTGCCTAGGTTAGCTTGGAACTTGAAATCCCCCCTGCCTCAGCCTCAGAAGAACAGGCATTACTGGTCTGCGCCATCACATCCTTGGAGAAGCTGTTTGTCAAGCTCTCCAAGTGATTCTTACATGCATTCAAACTTGATCAGGGTCGAGTCAGAAGAGGACTTGGTGTGGATATTATTCATGGAATTGATTCTAGCATTATACAGAGGGTTGGGTTAGATAACTTTGGAGCCTCCCAATCCTGTGAGTCTGCAATACCAAGAATCTCAGGTCTGTAGGCAAGACCCAAAGAGAACCACTAGTCGTCAGGGTGTCTTAAGTAATCATGGTTTACCACATGCTTGTTTCACAATGATTAGACCAATGGCAGCTAGTCTGTAGGTTGGCTGGGGACCTAGAAGACAGGAAATTGTGTCTCCCTTGGGGGTGAAAGTCAAGAGTTGGGTCTGCCAACTTCTCTCTCACTTGAGTTGGGGACTATGAGGAAAGGGAACATGTGAAAAGGAAACACGCAGACAGGTCACGAGGGCATAAGCGGCCAAGAGCTTATGTCATAATTTGGAGTAAATAGAAATTGAATGTAGGTCGGGAAGTTCAAACCAACAGCAACAGAGTACACGGGAAAGCAGTACTTCTCTGGGTCTCTGGGGAGAGTCCTTCCAACTCGCAGCAGTCTCCTCCTTCTGGCCTGAAAAGTCTTCATAGATATGGTGAGGTTCGTTCTCAACTACAAAGAATCAGGCAAGATTAAGTCAAGACAGCCCCTGACGCACTTTACCCACTTCCTTTGGCAGCCACAAGGATGTGCTGGTACACCTGCTGGGCAGAAGGGATCCTGATTTGGGAGGGAGGGGTGTAGGGCTTGGTCAAGGGACAGTTCTTTTCTAGAGAGTTCCCAAGCACCCAGCACTGAGTTGTGTCTAGGGATGCTAAAAACCCGGGTAGCCTGGGTTCTTAATCTACATAAACCCAGTCAACTTCATGATCGATTCCAGGTCACTGCAAATTCTAAATTTAAACATCAGGTTTAAGTATAATCTTATTTTTAAAAAATTTTATTTATAATTTTTATTTCATGTATATGTATGTATTGTTTGCATGTGTGTAAGTACACCCATGCTGTGAAATGCCTGCAGAGGACAGAAGAGGCCATCAAATTCCCTGGAACTGGAGTTTCAGACAGTTGTTAGCTGCCATGTGGGTGCTGGGATTCGAACCTGGGTCTTCTGTAAGAGCAGTCAGTGTTCTTAACCTCTGAGCCCTCTCTCCAGCCCCTAGTTTGAAGTATAACCTATTCGCTGATGGACTGGTATGTAGTTAGGTCTTTCTTGTTCTTTTGAGCCAACAACCTCTGGTGTGAAACACGGTTTGCTCTATGAACATATTTTTTCACACTCACACCTGTGTACATACCCACACTTGTACACACACCCACAACTGTGCACACATTCACACCTGTACACACACACACACATATACACAGATCCACACACAGAATCATATGCATACACATAATTAAAATTTTTTAAATAAAGATGTTAATAAAAGAAAATGTGCAAAGAAGATGGGCCTTTTGCTCTTCTATGTTGTTTTATAAAATGCCATTGTAACCCACTAAATTGATTTTATGCAGTTTGAAAATTATGCATATAAAAATTTAAAGTCCTCTCCTTCCTTAGGAGCTTTAAGAGCCTGAAAAATTGATGTTCATGAGCTGCAGTAGCACTTTGACCCAATCACACATTTTAATCTTGTTGTCCACAGAAACATCTGTAGGGTATGTACAGAATAAAACATGCTAAACAAACTAACCCACACAAGGAGGCAGGAAAGGCGTAGAAGCTGTCCAAAGGCTACAGAGTTTGCATGGGATTCATGCTAAAAACTTTCAACTTTGAAGATTAAAAAGTCCTTGAAGTACTTGAAAGAAAACCATTTTTTCCTTTGCTCCCCATTCTCTTTTTGGGTGTGTGTATGTACTGGGGAGCGTGGTCATGGGCATGTGTACACCTATGTGTGGAGGTCAGGCGACAACCTCCAGTGTTACTCCTCCTTAGGAGCAGCCCACCTTGTTTTCTGGGGCGGCGTCCCTCTCTGGGCCTTGAGGCTTGCCAATTCAGCTAGGCTAGTTGGCCAGTGAACCCCAGGGGTCTACCTGTTTCCATCTCCCCAGTGCTGGGATGACAAGTGTGTGCCCAGTTTTTGACATGAGTGCTGGAGATCAAACGCAGGACCTCGCGCTTGCATAGCAAGCACTTTACTAACTGAGTCATCTCCCCAACCCCTCATTTAATTTTTATTGTGGGGCTAAGGGTGTAGTTCAGTGGTAGAGTGTGTGTTTAACATGCCCAAGGGCCTTGGCTTCCCCGTAGTACCTCAAAGGGGGAAGGTTATTGTGTATACTTTAAAAATTATGTCTGTTGTTGCTGGAGAGATGGTTCAGCGATTAGGAGCATTGGCAGCTAACAACCATCTGTAATTCCAGTTCCCAGAGATCTGACAGCCTCTTCTGACCTCCACGGGCACTGCACAACATGGGTGCCCCTACTTGCATACAGGCAATACATTCATACACATTTTAAAAAGTCTATTACATAATGTTATAAAATATAGAGAGTAAAATGGTTACTATAATAGAACGATTAATATATCCATCCTTTCATAATTATCCATTATTCCGGTTTCATTTCTGTGGCTGTGACAAATACCCTGACAAAAAACAACATAGAGGAGGAGGACAGGTCTTATTTGGTTCACAAGTCCAAGTTACAGTCCATCGTTTCAGGGAAATTGTGCAGGGACTAGCAGCTAGTCACATCACATTCACAGCCGAGAGCAGAGAAGAAACGCACCCAGGCTTGCTCCCTTTCGCTGGCTTTCTCCTCTCTTATTCCATTCAATACTTCCTGCCTAGGGAACATAATGGACTGGGGCCCTACAATTAACAATCAAGACAACCCCCTCCCCAATACACCACCACTGCCACCAGACATACTCACAGGCCAGCCTGATCTAGAGAACTCCTCATTAAGATTCTTTTCCCTTGGTTCTGGGTTGTGTCAAGTTGGCAGTTGAAACTAACCAGCACACCCAGATCCCCTCCTGTGGCATAAGCCCCTGGAACCTTCTCACTTGGCAAAAATCTAGACTACAACACACTCTTGTTTCCCGTAGTCCTTGCTGTTGTTCATTAAATCTTTTGACTTATTCATCCTATTTATTTAAATGCTACTTTGTGAATTTTGACCTACATCCCTGTACTTCCTTCCCTCATAGCAGAGAAGACAAAATTTGAAAATGAAAGTAACATGTATTTCAATACTATTAACCAAAAAGTTCTTCATCTAAACCTGTTAAAACATCCTTGACTAGACAGATGATAGATGATAAATAGATGATAGATAGATGATAGATAGATAGATAGATAGATAGATAGATAGATAGATAGATAGATAGATAGATGATAGACAGACAGATGATAGATGATAGATCACAGATAGCTAGATGATAGATGATGGATAGATGTATGGATGGATAGATAGATAAATGATTGATAGATTTGTTTGTTTTTGACAGGGTCTCCCTATAGCCTCAGCTGGCCTGGAACTTACTATGTAGACCAGGCTGGCCTGGATCTCAAAGAGATTCACCTGCCTCTGCCTCCTGAGTGATGGGATTAAAGGCATGTGCCAACATGCCGGCCATCCTTGGCTATAAAGATGACAAGGTATATGATCCAAAATCCTATCACACCTTGTCTTAAGCAAACGGACATGGAGTTAAGTTGCCTTTGGATAAGTCAACCTGGAGTCTGAGGACAACTGGTCCACCCTTGGGACCACCCGGTCTGCCATCTGATGAAGAGGAAGGAAGCCACTTGAACACCTCACCTCTCAGGCCTCAGTTTCCTTTGTTGGTAAAATAAGTAACAGTGCCTCACCTTTCTTGGCTTTTCCTCGAACTTTCCTGAGGTATAAGACCACAAGGATGACAAGTCCCAGCAGCAGCAGGATCGCTACTACCACACCAGCAATGATGACCTTCCATGTCCAGTTGGTTTCAGGGCTTTGGAACAAGGATCGGTCAGGTGAGAAACGTCAGAGCCCAGTCCACCTCCTGCCAACAAACCATCCCCTAAACCTGGGTTTTACTACAAGTCCTCCCCAACCCAGTCTCTTCTGAGATGCCCTCTGCTCTAGAAAGCAAGGGACAGCCTTAATTCCCAGGGGCTCTGCCCCATAGGCCAGGCAGTCTCTACAATGAGGTAATGCTGATAAATGTCACAAGCCTTTATTCCTTTACTATTTCTAATCGCTTGTCCTTTAACTTCCTTTTGGAACTCTGTAAGAGTATCTTCTGTCTCCTTCCCTTTAGGGATCTTTACCCCCTGACCTGAGCTTCCTTCCCATCCACCTTCTCTCTGAGATGCAGTCAACTTTCAAGAGGGCTGGGGACACCTGACAAACAGCTCTGTCAGAAGGCATACACTCTTATACCTGTAACAGGCCCTAGGGAAAGGGGTCTGGGTGGCAAGGTCAGAAAGAGAGGAAGTGCTTCCAGGGATATATCATCTCAACTGGTTTCTAGCTTAATCTTTTTTAAAATGTTATTTATTATTTTTATTTTATGTGTATGCATGTATTGCCTGCATGTAGGTAAGTGCACCCATGTCATGCAATGCCCGCAGAGGTCAAAACAGGCTGTCAGATCCCCTGGGACTGGAATTATGGAAAGTTGTTAGCTGCCATGTGGGTGCTGGGATTCAAACCTGGGTCTTCTGCAAGAACAACCAGTGTTCTTAACCACTGAGCCATCGCTCCAGTGCCCTAGCTCAATCTTTAGACATGGAATAGTACACAAAAGTCTGAGGTCCACTGTCTGCAGGTTCAGAGAAGATCAGGGAGGTAGAGGCCAAATGCCTTGGGACTTGAAAGCCATCTAGCAGGGACAGAAAGAAATCAGGCTGTGGGGTTAGTAACTACAGGTTGTGCCCTTCCTCTCTTACCTAGACCCACTTGGGACTCAGACTGAGGCCCTGCTCTAACTGAAGTACAGGGGAGGCTAGAAGAGGGGCAGAGGCCCGGGCAGCATGGCCACATTCCTGCCTACACAGGAGTGGGAGAGTCTCTCTAGTCCACACTCCATCCTCACAATACCCTGGGAGGCAATGGTACTAGATGGGGGTGCTGGGGGTGGTTATGTCTTCCCAGACCCATCTAGCAATGTCTGGAGACATTTTCAGTGCTGCATTTATATTTAGAAGGACGTTCATGCTCTTGGCCACATAAGATCAACGATACCATTAAATATCCTACAAGGCACAGCACAGCCTCCTACAACAAAGAATTAGCCAGCTGCAAATACCAAGAGACTGGCCTGATGGTGCAGGCCTATCATCCCAGTTATTCAGGAAGGTGAGACAGAGGATTGGAAGTTCAAGGCCTGCTTGAGTGACAGAGTGAGTTCAAGACCAGCTTGAGTTACTTAGTGAGAACCTGTCTCAAAATAAAAACCAGGGGTGGTGGTGGCTGGAGAGATGGCTCAGTAGTTAAAAGCACTGGCTGCTCTTGCAAAGGACCAGCACTCACATGGTAGGTAACAACCATCTGTAACTCTAGTTTCAGGGGATATGATGTCTTCTTCTGACCTCCACTAGCATTGCATGGCACAGGTACACTTACATACAAGCAGGCAATACACCCATACACATAAAATAAAAAGTAGGGGACAGAGTATAACACAGTGGTAGAAATCGTACCTGGTAAATTTGAGGTCCTGGGTTCAATCCTCATCATAAATAAATAAATAAACAAACAAAAAATAGATAAAAGGTAGAATGTTATCAGGATCCCATTTTACAGATGAGAAAACTGAGACCCAGGTAAAGTGACCAGAGGTGACTTGTCTGACCCCATTCCATTCCCTGAGAACCAGGTACCTGTTAGATTGATAGTTGGGTGTGGGGGCTGGAGGCGGGTAGAGGATGGGAGGCAGAGGAGGGCTAAGAGGACACGTGAGGGAGATTGACAGTACCTGTCAAAGGCAGGGCTGGTGGCAGAGGCCAGGAATGTTGACGTCCTGGAGGTGGTGGGTGGGTTAGCTGTAAGAGACCACTGTGAGCACAATACCTATCTGTTCCCCACATCCCGGCCCCCCGGCCCTGGAGAATGAGGAGCCTATCTATGGCCCTGGACTACCTGTCTGCCCTGCATAGAACAGCCATGTTATACTGAGTGCGGCTGGAGTTCCCTCAAGAGAAGAGCCATAGTGCAGGTGGCTTTAGATGAGGCCCATGCCATCACTTGTATATTGGACAGATTCTGGGGCCTTTTCTGTTCCCAGCACTCTTTTTTTAATGTGTACGTTTGTGTGCATATGCATGTTTGTGTGCACTCGTGTATGTGTGCATGCACGTGGAGGCCAAAAGACAACTTCAACTGTCTCTCCTCTGTGCAATTCAGCTTGTTTTTATAGTTATTTATTTATTTATTTTTATTTAATACAAGGTATCTCATTGGACCAGAACTCACGTAGGTTAGGCTGGCTGGCCAGTGAGCCACAGGGATCCACAGGGACCCACCTGCCTCTACCTCCTCCTGGTGCTGGGATTATAAGCATGCACCATCATGCCCAGCTTCATTAAGTGGGTTCTGGGGACTGAACTCAGGTCTTCACACTCACATTTGCACAGTGTCTCAGTTACTTTCCTGCTACTGTGATAAAACATCCCACAAAAGCAATGTATGAGAGAAAGGATCTCTTTTAGTTCACAATTCAGAGTAGAGTCCACTCTAGTAGAGAAGTCTAGGCAGCAGAAGCACGAGGCATTTGGTCACATGGTACCCACAGTCAACAAGCAGAGACATGAACGCTGGTGCTCAGCTCCCTTTCCCTTTTTTTATCAAGTCCAGGACCCAAGCCTAGGGAATGGTGCCACCGCTTTTAGGCTGGGTCTTCCCACCTCAGTTAAACCAAGATAACCCTCACAGGCATAACCAGAGGCTTGTCTCCCAGGTGATTCCAAATTCTGCTAAGTTGATAATTAACACTAATCATCACATATAGCAAGCACTTTGCCAACTGAGCCATCTCCCCAGCCCCGAGTCCACTGTGCTTGAACATGCCATACCCTTTCAATACCTAATACCTCCTGTACATGGAATGGGCCCTGAACCAAAGCTTGGGTGAGAATGAACTTCAGGCAACCATTGGACCAAATGACTGAGCAGGTTCTGCAGCCCAGAGAGAGCTGGAAGGTCCAAGCTCAGAATATCAGAACATCACAGACAAATTCAGAAATCCTTGCATCTCTGCAGTTTTCAGGATGAAATACGCAGGGGGCTGAGGATCAGTGGTAGCCCCGGGGCCACCATCCTAAGGCTCAAAGATGCTTCCTTGTTAGGGGAAGATCTGGGGTGAGGAACCATCTCCTAGCTTCCTCCTCTAAGCCCTGCATCAGCCTTACTGCCAAGATGTCTCCTCTCTGTCCACATTTCTCTGTACCCCACCCCCACTCCACCAGCTGCTCTGTGGTCTTTCTGTGTGATGGAGCCCATAGGCTTTGAGAAAAGGTGTCTGCCAGGATCAAGGACAAGGGATGTCCGGGAATGGAGCACTATGACAGCTCTGGAAGCTTTGAGATCCTTCCAAATAAATGGAAGAGTTCTGTTAGCAGCTGCAAAAATGTTAAGAGAAACCTGTAAGAACCGATCAGAAGCCAGCAGGCCTGGGTTCTAGGGCTGGCTCTGCCCTTGACCAGCAGGTGACCAGTTTTCAGCTACTAAAGGAAGTGGTTTCTAGGGTCCTCTCTGGCTCTGGCGCCTTGTGATTCAGGGAGGCTGAGAGCCTCACAGAAGGAGAAAATCTCACCGTTTGACACCAGCAGTTGGACGGATCTGAGAACGGTGATCATTCTGTGACTATCAGTGATCCCACAGTGATAGAAGCCGGTGTTCCCCACCTTGAGTGCAGTCATGGAGACAGTGAAGTAGTTAAACTCAGGATGATCCTGGATGGAGAATTGAGGCCTCCTCATTCCTGTCCTGAGACTGTCCACTAAGATGTTACAAGATCGTTCTGAGGTTTTCAGACACCAGCACTTCACCTTGCTGCGTTGGGTAGATGGGTACCGGCATGCCACAGAAACATTGTGGCCTTCCACTGCTTTCAGCAACTCTATTTTTTGTGTCCAGGAGCCTGAGAATACACCCTTGTCAGTCAGCTCCCATCCCCACCCCACCCCCACCACCGCAGCAGGGCTAGGAGATGGGTTCCCGTCTCAGGAAGTGTCCCTCTTTGTGCCTATGCCCAGGATGCACCTTAGTGCTGGACTCTGGCCACACCACTCCATGTTCACTGCCCTTTCAACCACCAACCCCGCTTCCTGCACATCCCCCTTCCTCTTTCCTTCCTTCCCTTCCCTTTCCCTGGGTCTCTCCCTCCGCCCCTGTCCCTTGTCCTCACCTGAGGTCAAGAACACCAGCAAGATGGGGGATAGCAGATATGTAACCTCCCAGACCATGGGTCTTCTACTTCAGCGAGGATGGGGAGGAAGAAGGGAAGGAGCCAAAGAGCCCCTGAAGACGGGTCCAGAGGTAGGCAGGATTCAGTCGAGCCCCACAGCCAGTGTGGGATGAATTGCTGAGGAAGGCAGAGGCCTCCTAGAACAAGCAGGAAGCCAAGAGGAGGCCGTGGCCTATGTGTACCTTTCGGCTACAGGCTCTGTATCTGGGCCTCGGGACGAACAGATAGAGGCTCCTGGGAACTCTGCAGGCTCCTCCCTGTCAGGCCACCTCCCTGTCACTGGGGTAGGAGTAAAGAGAAAGCGGGGAGGAAGCCATGATGAAGTAAGCGCTTGTTTCACCTCACCTCGTCACTTCCTCTTCGGCCTAAAGTTTCTCCTCTCCACCGAAGTAAGCTACCCGTGGAATGAGTGTCCTAATTTCCTTTCTGAATACACTGACAAAAAGCAACTTAGGGACGAAAAGGTTTATTTCATCTTACAAATTATGGTCTATCAACTGAGCAAAGTCGGGGCAGGAAACCAAGCAGGAACAGAAGCAGAAACCCCTGAGGAATACTGCTCACTGGCTCATTCCCAGGATCACACTCAGCTAGGTTTCCTATACAGCCCAGGACCACCTGTCCAGAGGCGGCACTGACCACAGTGGGCCAGGCCCTCCCTCGTCCATCAATGATTAAGACAATCCTTTATGGACATTGACCACAGGCCAATCTGATCCAGGCAACTCTTCGATTGAGATTCCCCCATCAGGTAACTCCTAGGTTGTGTCACTGACAGCTGAAACTAACTAGAACAGTGAGTGACAGAGTTCATGGGCTTTAGAGGGTTGGCTAGATCCCTAAACCCAACTGGTCCTCAGAAGCTAGAACCTTGATGCCCAGCCTACCTAGGAACTGGAAAGTTCTGGGTGGACTGGAGGAGATGAAGAGAAAGGAGATGGACATTCATTCTCAGAATTGGAGGAAAAGAGCATCTTGGCAAGAGTGAAAGAGCAAAGCTGGGGTGCAGGAAGAGAGCTCAGAAGGAGGGGCAAGAAGGGAAGGGGGAGCCCCAACTCACATCACCCCAGACACCGAGCTCCCAGCATGCCATGCTCACTCCTAAGCACCCCTTGAAAGAGCAAACTCATCAAATGCATGTCAAAACAAAAACAAAAAACTGTCAGGGGACAATGAGATGGCTCAGCAGGTAAAAGCACTTGCTGCCAAGCATGATGACCTGAGTTCGATCCCCAAGACTCACATAGAAGGAGAGAATTGACTCCCGAAAGTTGTCCCCTGACCTTCGCTCGAGAGCTGTGACTGCCCTCCCCCCTTAAATAAGCAAATAAAATTTTGAAAATAAATACACTAACTGTCATCATGTGGACTGCCGAAAATGAATAGCTATATCCGTAGCTAATAGGTAAACCAGGAGAAAACCAGGATGGTGGTGCACATCTACAATCCCAGCACTTGGGAGGTAGAGGCAGGAGGAGCCGGAATTCAAGATCATCTTTGACTACATAGTAAGTTAAAGGCAGAACATGGGCTACAGGAGACCCTGTCTAAAAATAAATACATAAATTAATTAAATACAGCAATTTTTGTTAAATTACAAGGAGAAAAAGAAAACCCTCTTAAATTTCAATGCAGGGGGCTGGAGAGATGGTTCAGCAGTTAAGAGCACTGACTGCCCTTACAAAGGACCAGGGTTCAGTTCCTAGTACCCATATGGAGGCTAACAAGCATCCTTAAGTCCAGTTACAGGAGATCTGATGGCCTCTTCTGGCCCCCATGGGCATTGCACACATGCAATGCACTTACATACACGTAGGTGAAACGCTCCACTCATACGCATGAAAAATAGATAATAAATGAATTCATAAGTTGCAATGCAATGTGCCAGGGAACAGAAGCTGGTGCAGATAGGCACAGGACTTGTGAAGAGCTCTGCTAAGAGGAGCAGGAAGCAGGCTGGGGTCATGGGAGTGGGCAGTACTGAGGCCCTTGAGGAATCCCAGGCTGCCTTGTAAGGAGGTTTCGGAGGCCGGGTAAGCCTTCAAGGCTTGTTCAAGTTGGGAAAGAGGTGCCAGGTCTTTAGATACTGGTATTGATCCATCAGTAAGGGGACGGGGACCAGGTGAGGTAACTTCTGTCTCACTGCTCCCAGAATGGGTCAAGAAGTCCAAGTATGCGGAGGGCGGAGCTCTGCACCATCGTCCGTCAGTGCAGGTAGAACAGGGCATGCATTCCCACAGCCACTTCAGACTGTAAGCCTAAGTGTAAACGGTTCCAAGAGGGAGCACAGCCATGAGTGCAGGGTTACTTCCACCCTTCTTCTGGCCAAGACAGTGATCCTTTTGTACGAGTGTTCTTCCTCTATGGTCTGTAGCTCAGGAAACTGTTACCTCTCACCAAGGCCAGCAGCATCCCTGGTCTGTATGGTATCCTTTCTGGCTGTGCTCTTCCTAGCCCAGGACCTGCTGCATATCTGGGTCCTTTGGAAGTTCAGGAAGGAGGATGAGAACAGGAAGGAGGGAGAGCTTGGGCTGGGTTTTGAGTCTTAGAAGTCACCCAGCCCCATAGATGCTGGGGAAATGGAGCATGGACATCTATAGGACCTTCTCAGTACTCTGTGTTCCTACCATGGAGCTCTCTAAGAGGAAGGATTAGGATGAACAGTTTGCATGCTTTACTGGATTCGAGAAACCCCTCATCTGGCCCAACAGGAATGGGTGGTCACTCTCATGCCTTCCTGTCTAACTCCACCTTTGCTGAAGGCCTCTGTTTGCATGCAGGACCAGTTAGGTCCTGTCCCTTGCTTCCTCTGTCCTCATAGCATTTTCTAGAGCAGCCTTCCCAGGGTTCCATGCTGCCTTAACCTCTGCAGTCTGTGTACCCATACCCCTAGAGCCTCCTGCAGGCATATCCTGCCTTCCAACTCTAGCCTGTACTCCAGGCCTCAGACAGCGAAGTGCTCCTGTGACATCTTCCCAGCTGGCCTGAGCTTGCGGGATCCCCAGGGTACCCCTCTCTGAAAGACTCAAGCATGTTCTAGCTCTTGCACTGTGGTACCTGACTGTGCATGAAAGTCTAGGGTATATCTACTTCCACATACCTTCTTTTCTCCCAGAGTTACTGGCAGACTGAGGCCAGGCTGGCTGCCTTCTGTTCCCCGCCTGCCCTTGCTTCTCTCTCAAGACTGAGTTGTGCTCATGCAGTTAATGTATACACAGCCCTTGACTTTGGAGGTGCTATACAGGGCCTTCAGAGCCTTCCTCATCCTCCTGTCCAGATGAAGATACAGGACCAGAGAGGAATAGTGAGTGGCTGAGGTTACATTGAGATGAAGAGTTGCACCAGAGATTTGAACCCTGGTCTTGATTTCAGAGTCATTGTACCTTAACTACTCACAGGAAGGTCTTGTCAAAGAGGGAGGCCACCATCACAGGCTCCAACATTCATGTGGTGAGGACACCAGGGAGGAAAGAGAATGAGAAAAAGAAATCGCTCCTAGTCCTGGTAAAGTTTAACTATCAACTTGACACAGCCTAGAGTTACCTGAGAAAGAAATCTCAATTGAAGGATTGCCCAGTTCACGTTGGCCTGTTTGTGTATCTGTGGGGAGACTATCTTGTTCATTGATGTAGGAGGAGGGCCAGGCCCACTGTGGGTGGCACCATTCCCTGGGCAGGTCGTTCCTACAAGAAAGCTAGCTAAGGGCTGGAGAGGTGGCTCAGTGGTTAAGAGCACTAGCTGCTTTTCCAGAGGACACAAGTTCAGTTGCCAGCACTCACATGGTGCCTAACAGCCATCTGTAACTCCAGTTCCAGGTGATCTGGTGCCCTCTTCTGGCCTCTGTGGGCACTGCATGACATGGGTACAAAACAAATGCTCATAAAATAAAAATAATTTAAAAAGAAGCTAGCTAAGCATCTGTCTGCAAGCCAGCTAGCAAGCAGCCTCCCTCCATGGTTTCAGTTTGAAGTTCTTGCTTGAGTTTCTTACCCTGACTTCCCTCAACAATCCCTGACACAATGTGACCTGGAAGCCAATAAACCCATTCTTCTCCTAAGTTGCTTTTGGTCATGGTGTTTATCACAGCAACAGAACAGAAATTAAAACAACCCCCTCAGTTCTTGAAAGAGTGACAGAATGGGACAGAATTTCAGAAACAGTAATAAGGAGGCATTCACACAGTTGTACAGTGTTTATAGTATTTCATTGTATCCTGGAAACAATCTTGAGAGGTAGGAATTCTTGTCCTCTTTAAACAGAGAAGAAAGAAATAAGTCCCAAAGAGGGTTAGTGGCTTGGTCAGGGTTACACAGTGACTGTGTATCACTGGTCCCTGCCCCTGACTGCTTTCCATCCCATTCTCCGTGAGACAGGGTTGTCAGGGCTGATGGAGGTCCTGGTGCAGGGTCAGGAATAGAGGTGGGAATTGGCGGGGGGAAGCTGTGAGTTTAAGGCATCCTAGTTACACATCAGGGTGGTAGTTCTTAGAAGGTTTCTTGCTAGCCAGAGATGTCTGTGTGTCTGTCTGTCCATTAACTGTAAGTTACTCAACCTGAATCCTCCTTCTGCTCTTTCAGAAGTAGGAAAGAAATGCTTCCTCTATGCCAAGTTTACCTCTTGTCCCTCCTTTCTTCCCAAGGCCATCTATCTTTCAGTGGCTCCCAATGGCTGTCTCCAAGGTCTCAGCCATGTCACCCTCCTGACCATCCAGGGTCCCCAAGGGGCCTTTCCTGTGGGCTGGTAGACATCCCTATCTCCAGAGTAGTTCATTCAACAGCCCTCACTGCCCCACCCCAGCCTTCCCTGTTATACTTTGGACCAACAGTCTGGATAATAGAGGCCAAGTCTGAGTCATGTGTAGGGAGACAGGAGCCAGACTCCACAGGCCCCTGGACCCCTGGGTTCCTTCTTGCCTCTGCCTGGGGAAGTGATTCTCTCTCTCTCTCTCTCTCTCTCTCTCTCTCTCTCTCTCTC